CTTTCTCAGTAACCATCTAATGAGAAAAGAGAAGCTGCCTTTTGTTTTTTTGCATATCACAACAGAAACACTCTAATAACTGTATTCTCTACCAGGGAACTGAGGAGGGGGAGCCTGCTCCCAAATACACGTGAAGCTTGTTTCTACACGAGGTGAAGTGTGCAGTGAAGGTAAGAACTGCAAACCAAGGCTCTTCAGGCCTCTTGTGGGGCCCGCCGGTGGCCAGTTCTCTGTCCTGAGCTAATGTAACCTGGCAGCAGCATGTGATGCAGATGAAGACACCCCCTCTTCGAACACTGTCCTCACCTGACTTCCAGGACCCCCCCTCCTGGTTACCTCCCTCCTCCGCCGCCTGCTCCCTTTCAGGTTCCTTCGCTGGTCCCTCACTCCAACAGCCAAAGAGTGGAGCGCCGGGCCCTTGGACAGCTGCTCTTCTTTCTCTCCTTGTGTTCCTGAGCTCTCGCCTCTCACTCGGCCCCACGGCCTTAAATCCCATCCTCATGCAGCTGGCTCCCAAGCCCCTTTCCCGCCTGGGCCTCTTTCCTGAGCTCTAGGTTCGGACGTGCAGCTCTCTCTTCCTCATCTCTATTCAGGCGTCTAACGGGCATCTTAGACGTGACTTTCCAAGCCCGAACTCTTGATGTCTCCTTCCTATCTGCCCCTTCGCCCCTCCCCAACCCCAACTCACCCTGCCTTTCCAATGGTCTGGCTCATTTTCATTTCTGCACTGCTCACAACAAGAGCCCTGGAGTCACTGGTTTGCTTCCAATGCTTCAGCAAATCCTATCAGCTGTCCTTTAAAAATCTATTCTGATCTGACCACCTGCCACCCTCTCCCCTGCTACCACCTTGCCGGGAATTACCACTATCCTTCACTTAGATGGCTGCAGTAGTTTCCTAGCAGCTCTGCCTGCCTTTGCCCGTGCCTGCAACCTCCCCTTCCCAGTCCTCTATTTTCAACCCGGCAGCCAGAGTGACTCTTTTGCAGTGTAAGTCAGATTATGGCACTCACTGCTCCAAACCCTAACCACCTCCTGCCTCACTCACAGCAAAAGCCGAGGACACTACAGCAGCCTTCAGGCTCTCAGCCCCTTACATTAGCCCCCCCCCCTTCCCCACCTGCTCACTGCAGCCACATGGGCCTTCTGCCCTTCTTCAGATGCCCGGCACACCCCTGGCGCTGGCTCTCTGCTCAGTCTCCCTCTCCCGGTGTGCTATCTCCTAGATGGCCACATGGCTTGCTCCCATTCCGCCTTCAACTCTGTCCCCAAATGTTACCATCTTACTAAGGAATTCCACAAACACGCGAAAATCGCAGGGTACATTCATTATACCCTGGAGTACTCAAGTCTCCTCTCCATTGCTAACTTTTTACCATAGCATATACCCTTATCTGACATACATGTATTTTACTTATGTCTGTCTTGCCCGCAATAATTCACATTCTATGAGGGAGGACCTATAGAGGAGGCGTGCTCAATAAAACGTTTGCTGAATGAGTGAGTCAGTGAGCAAAGGAAGGACTACAAGGGCGGGGAGGGCTCCTGTGGGTGAGAACTCCCTTACCACGCCTGAACCTTAGCTAGCATGTCCTTTGTCAGAAGAAGAGAGGCAATGGCAATGGGAGAGACAGACACAAAGGGAAATCGGGGGGGGGGGGGGCGAGGAGGAACACTCTGGGATATTCCTTTGAGTAATGGCTTCACTTAACCTATAAAGACGGCCAGGTCCGCCCTGGGGACTTCAGTGCCCATTCAGGCTTCTGATGTACACCGCCCAGACTGTCTTCGGTGACCCAGCTCTGGAGAAGTGCGTGACAGCTAGGGGCAAGATGATCTCTGATGAAAAGAATTAAAAAGCACACTCATAAAGCCTTCCACTTTCTAGTTAATCATAGTAATTTTCCAGGACAAAGCATCTTTTTGAGTCTGAAATTTAACAGTGGAGTCAAAAGGGTCAGAACCATAGTAGAGATCATTACCACAAGGGACAGGGTCTCTGTAATTCTCATGATCATATAGGTCATCTTGATCCTTTGCTCACCCAAGACTTATCCTCCCACTAGAGGCTAGTAAGAGCACAGGTGTGTATAAAAAGACACAACTTAACAATACCATGAGCAGCAATTCCAATAAATGGAACTGCTCCGGAGCCCTCATTTCTTTATTACAGAAAGACTGCCACACTTTCCACTGGCGGGTAGGCTCTGGAAGTGGAAAACTACAAGAGCCTTACAACTTCTTGTTAAATACGTTTTCTGACACTTGGCGGCTGGTGATTAATTACTGTGTTAGAAGATAACATTCCTATAGAGATTGGCCGGAAATACAGCTGCTGCCCACGCTTGATTAGACGTTGCTTACGGAATGCTGAGGCACACAGCTTCAGTCTATTATTTCTAGCTATTCTGGGTTTGCTGTTACGTTTATTTTACACAGCTCCGAGTTCAGTAGAATTGATGGAGCCCATGTCACAAAACTGTCCCTACCAACAAGAGGAAAAGAAAGAAGATAAGGCTATAAAGTGTGTCTATATACGAGTGTATGTATGGGAGCAAGAGAAAATGCGAGACAAGGCCTAGGCAGAGTAGGGATATATTACTCCTTTCTGTGACACTTTCTGCTCTACAAAGAAAGGACTGCAGGGAGAGGATTGGTTTCTGATAAGCCTGGAAGAAAACTGACCCATGTCAGCTGATTAAAACTTTCAGGGCATTAAAGACAAAACTGAAGTTTGTCATTATCCAAGCCCTTGACCAGCGCCAAAAGAAGCCTGAATTTGGTACCTATTCATTCATCATGATGAGCACTTACTCTGGTCCAGGCACCGAGGAAACAGACAGGAAAGGTGTCGGCCTTTGGGAGCTCACAGTGAGGTAAGAAGACATCTCCTGGACCAGGATCGGAAGGACAGAATCACCCAATGCTATACGTTCATGCCAGCTTCATAATCCACTAAGAGTGACGAGTAACAACAGCAGCAGTACCTGTCCCAAATGGTCACCTTTCAGCTAATACCCACTGCCCTGGACATCGGTCACAAATCCACCCGGGAAAGGCACGCCTCGGGGGCCATCAATTATTTCCTGAAGAAACATGTCACTGGCCCTCAGCCCACTGATGCCAACCCCAGTACTGTCCAGGCAGCATTCCATTATTCAGACGTCAGTTTTTTCTAGTGTGTGTTCGAGCCCCATACTGTCTGCCAAAAACCATGTTAATTTGCTTATTTCAGCTAAATACAAAAAAATCATTTAAAAAGGATGATTGAATTTAGGAAATTACATTCCTCTGAGAATTAGTAATGCTTCTCTCCAACCCTCAGGCCTCCCTGTTCTCATGCTCCCCTTGTCGATGTTATTATGAGACTAATTCAATAATGACATAATTCCCCATAAGAGCGGCCAAATAAACGCAGCTTTCAGTCACACCTGGTTTCTCCATCTGAGCAAGGGAGGCTTGTCACCAAACTTAGCCCAAAACAGGGAATTTAATGAAAACACACACACACACAGAGGAAAAAATAAGGCAGGGAAGGAGGGCAGAGGAGCAGAGGAACAGGTGGCAGCGGAACAAACGGAGCGATGGATTGGAGAAGATTAAGCACAAGGATGTATGGTCATATGATTCCAAAGCAACCTACCATATGTCTTAATAATTGTCAGAGTAATATCATACTTCATCATTCCCTCAAACATCTCAAGAATTGCTTCACATTTCCTTGAACTTTTAAGGAATCAAAATATCAAGTGAAAAGACACCGAAGTACTAAATATTAGGCAGGCACATTCGGGATTATTAAAAACAAATGACACCCTAGCCATAAAGGAGTCTGTGGAATAATTCACCTAGCTATAAACGGCGCTGAGAGCCACAGTCATCACCCAGCCTCGTCAAAGCTGGTTAAGCTTTCATTAAAATACCTAAGGTCTGATGACTGAAGAAAGGTCTAAGTGGTGTTGAGAAGCATAAAGTGAGAAGAAAATCAACCTCAAATTCGAAAAGGTATGTTATAAAGAATCAGGAAGCACTGAAATCAGCAAACCTAGAAAACAGAAAGTGCTGCTTAAGAGCAGCCGCTTCAATGACACGAAGGGAGAGCAAGCACGGGGACTAGTAACCAACCCCAGCGGAAACCGGAGGAGCTGGGTTTCAGCAGGGACCAGGCGGGCAAGACAAGGAAACAGGTTCGTGTAAAACACTCTCAACACCTGCTACTAATAATGAGCGAAAAAAAGGGGAAATCCAAATGTCTACAAATTTGCAAAGTATCAAATAAACAAATTATGGTTTGTTTATACCATGGAATTAAAAGTAATATTTTCAAGGAATATTAATAGATAAGGGGAAAATCATGTTTCCAAAGAGTATTACTGATATGGGAAAGTACAAGGAAATAAATATAAAACCACATTAACATAGTTTTAATTTTGTAAAAAGAGAAATCGTATGTATGCACATGTATGAAAACTCACCTACACCCAGAGCACGTGCACAAAACCCAGGAGAAAGTATACTCAATATCGTGGTCTCTAGGTTAAAAGTTTTGAGTAATGTTTATAGTCTTCTCTGTAGTTTGTATCACATATATTATGCAATAAGCATATATGACTTTTATAACCAGAAACAAAAGTTAAAGTTTTGTAGTAAAAAGAACTTAGGTTAGACAATAGGAAAAATTACCTGTGTAATGGATGTTAAATGTCGAATAGAACTGCATGTAATTACCTTCTCTATGACTGAGGAACACCTATTTCTTTCTTTTTTTCCTTCTTTTTAAAAACAGATATAACTGACGTATAACACTGTTAGTTTCAGTTGTACAACATAATTATTCAATACATATATTGCAAAATGATCACCACAAAAAGTTTAATTAACATCCATCACCTATTTTTCTTTTAAACTAACTTTTAAGAACAATAATCTACTTTTAAAAATGACTTCACAGGCAGTGAGGGCTTGGCTTTGGGGCCGGCCTTGGGCCTGATGTGCGCTTACCTGGCGAAGTCCAAATCTGCCTCCCGCGACATGGTGATGTTGGTCAGGTTCTGCTGAAGAACAAAAATGTTTCTGCACATTTTCTTGATGCCAGACTCACTGATGCGCCGGAAGTACTGGGCACCGTTCACGAGGATGCAGGAGATGAGGTGTCCTAGGCCTGAGGGGCCGGCACAGGGTGGGAGACGAGAGAAGATGGGTTAGCGTCATCCTGCATAACTGGCACACAGGATGTCTCGCTTCCAGTCCTCCAAAGGACACACGTCTCTGACGCCTGCACCACTGATGCCACGGCGATGTCAGAGTACTTACACACTGTCCTGGTTCTTACAAATGGGGAGGCTCTTTGCTGGCAACAAAACCTGGGAAATGCACAGCTCCAGCACCGCCACGTACGCCTGGTCAGCACCCCGGGGCTTACGGAACAGACACTATCACAGGGCACAGGGACTCGCTTCCAGTACAGACATTCTGGGAGCAGGGAGCACATGTAAATTCAATGATGTGTGGGCCTCCGCTTCCTCCCACAGAGCAGACAGGAGTAGAGAGTACGTCAGCTCAGATGCTGACTGGGAACCTGCCTAAGCAAAAGTAAATCAGTAAGAAGCTGGGCTACTGGCATTGGCGCGAATGCACCCCAACAGTGACAATGGGGCATATTCCTGAAGCGGCGGGTGGAGGGAACGTAAGCAGAGGCAAAGTGCGAAAGAAAAGCGACCGCGGGTTAACCGCTGCGTTCCCGCGAGACACCTAAGGATGTCTCTGGGTGTCATCAGTGACTTGCTCTCGCCTCCGGCTGTCCTGAGGTCTATGAAGCTGACCGAAGAGCAGGTGCGAACATCAACAAACCAGGCGTCCCGTTCAGGGTACCCTCTGCACCTGCGTGAGGAGCTGGCTCAGGGCCGCCGAGGCACATGGAGATCGCCATTTGAAAACGCCAGCTTTTATTTCTAAACACTTGGAATTACGTCAGCTTCTCTTTCGTCTTCTCCCTTTATTCTTGCAGAGCTGGACTCTAGCGGGCTGTTTCCCCCAGAGCTTGAAAGCTAGTCCGACTAGTCGCAAGGAGTCTGCCGTATTCACTTTCCTCTTCTGAGGCCATAGTCCCTCCACGGTGACCCTGATCAGAGCCCAGGGTGTGTCTTCAGGTGTCATGGCTCCCTGGCTTCCAAGTGAGTTTTCCCTCCATTAGGATGAGGTAGAAAAGGGAGAGGAGGGTATGTTCTCTCTTGCTTCTGCTACACTCACCAACACTGCTTCGGGACCACAAACCCACTTGTATGTGCTACTACTTGAAAGTAAAGTAAAAACATGCATGTATTTTACAGTCAATACCAGACAATTGGCTTACGTGAAAAATCTCTGTAGGTCAAGTTCCAGCTGACACTCCTGAGCCCATAACTATAGGTATAATTCTGTTCTGCTATATGCAGTAGGTCCTAAGTGTAGGTAATGGGTGGGGGTTGGAGGTGGATTGTTTGCAAAGAATAGTAAATGCTAATAAATATATTATGTAAATAAGTTTATATGATGAATAATAATAACAGAACCAATTAGAAGTTGGTCTGCTTTATGTATCACTATATACCAGCAATTCTAAACTTCAGCTGGGATGAAGTGCTCCTCCCTGCCACACCAAGGAAGACTGAGACCTGTCACCTCCTCTCCCACCTCAGGAAACTCAACATTATACTTTTTGAATTTAGAAAATTATATCGCAGAGAAATAACTGGCTTTTTAAACAGTCTGAAATGTATGATTTCCTAGTGAAAATCGATTCCAATCAGAAGGTTATGCCTAGATTTCAAGACATAGTCTCCCAGCAGGAATGCATGTGAAGAAATGCCTGGGTAAATTGGAGGAAAACTCTGGGAAAGTGAAAGTTGGGCTTGGAAGAGCCCCGGTCAGGACCAAGGACACTGCACAGCAGGGAGAAGGGATTCTAGGTGGGCACTGCAGCCTCAAGCCACAGAGGTGGCACCTGTTCACAGTGCCACGGCTCACCCACAGGAGGCCTTTAACCTCTGTGCTCTCACTAACATCTTTCAGGGATAGTTCCTATCAGGACACATCTCCATCTTTATGACAAGATTTACTGAAAAGATAGGATTTTGGGTCCACATTTGCTGGAATATAACTGTCTCACGCAGCCATCAATGGCCACCACCATCACTTCCTCTCTTCAGGCTGCTACAATCCTTAGACAATGCACCTTTTAAATTGTTCTAAGTAACACTGGTTTCATTCAGCGAGACACCATGGATGCTTCTAGCACCTAGGTCTGTATACAAAGAAACCAAAACAAAGGAAGAGGGAATATAATCTGAAGCCCTAAAAGGCACCCCAGGAAGGAATTCAGCAACAGTTACTGGGTGGCATCCTGTTTTCCCATCCTCGAGGCAAATGCCTCAGAAGGTGTGTCATTCACACCCATGCTGACCGCCCGCCCTGAAGGCATTCATGGGACAGCCTTCCTAAAATGCCCCCTAAATCGCTGCCAGTAAGAGGCTGCTGCTGTTTTCTGACAATAACGCGCTCTCTGAGAGAAAACGCCCCCTTTCAGTAAGGGTTTTAGCCATGAGGGGTTTTTCAGGGCCCTCTCCTCCTGTGTGTTTCTTTTCCTTTTGTGAGCTCCTCTTGAGTGAAGTCGTGGCCCTCCACACATTTACCCAGCTCTCATGAGTGGCACGTCAGGGAGGCAGCCGGGCTGCCATCTGCCTTATCTTGGATTAAATCTCCTTATCAACCAGGAGCAGATGGCAGCCATACTGTCGTCTACCTGCCCTACACAGAGACACCAGGTACTGCAGCTTTAATCAAAAACAAAATAAAAATCCCAACAACCTTTTCCACAAGTTTTGAACTTCAATGACATAGAAAAATCAGGGAAGCCACCCCCTTCCTCCCGACACCCAGGGCCAGGGGCAGGGGCTGACCTTCAAAGATGTACTGGAACTTGTGCTGCTGAAGGCTGGCGCCCATAGCCTCCTCAATGGCACTGATGTCTTTGTTGAGCTTGACCACCAGAGGGTCATAATCCATACTTTCCACATTAGCGACAATGGCATAGTTCCCCTCCTTTGCCAGAGGGATGAGGTAGTGGAAACAGTGAACCCTGGAAAAGACAGAGGTAGGGAGAGCAATTAGCAATACATCTTTCTGATGAAAATAATGATCTTTTGGTGTCAGTGCACTCAGGTATTTACAGAGCAGTGGGCCTGTGGAATTTCATGTGTCCCTCCCCCTGTTCACCAGAAAGCCTTCATAGTTACTCCACAGAACAGCTCAGGGATGTTGAGCAAGTCAGCTTCTGCGATCCCTGCTTATTTGATCCACACATTGTGGCTGAGAAATAGATGCGCCCTGAAATTCTTTTCAGTGACAGGACTGTATGCATGTGTGAAAGACACGATATCTTTCAACAGATGTCGTAGTGGAAAGGAAAGGCAGAAGCCACAGGTCTTAAATGTGTAAGCTTCATAATGAGACTACATTGGTTGCAATTCCCAATTCCAACACTTACTAGCTGTGTGACCAGGAAGTTGTTTTCTCTCTGTCTCAGTTTCCTTATCTGTGCAATGGGAATGATAACAATACCCAAGAAGCTACGACATAGAAAGTGCATCGCATAGGGCCTGGCACGAAGGAAGTGCAGGGTAAGTGCTGGCCATCATTGCTGTTAGCATACTTATTAATATTAACCTATTACTTAAATAAAACATCAAACATCCATGAATTTGCTAAAGATTGTGCTAGGCCCTGAGAACGTAAGACTCACTTTGTGTCCTTGAAGACTCCAAAGCCTGGTGGGACCCACCAAGAAAAAAATGACCAAAAGAGGGCAGTGTTCCCCTAAGAAGCACATACACTGAGGGTGTCAGGAAAGGACAAGTCTGAGTGAGCTGGAGGGAGAAGTGTATTTCAGTGTGGAAATGGCCTGAGTCAGTTTGATTATACACCATTCTTCATTTATTTTAATGAATTTATTGGGGTGACATTGATTAATAAAATTATACAGGTTTCAGGCATACAATTCTATAATACATCATCTGTATATTGTATTGTGTGTTCACCACCCCAGGTCAAGTCTCCTTCCCTCACCATTTATCTCCCTATGCCCTCTTCTACCTCCCCCCAGTCCCTTACTCATTTATTTTTGGTAGATATCAGTAACTGCCAAAGAAGTTTGAGATGGATAAGGACTGGATATTTCCTAACCTTTGTATTAAGCTGAAATGAAAAGCAAGTTTCAGTCCAAATAATTCTACCACACACACAGGTATTTATTTAAAAAAGAACACCACCATCCATAGTTCAAACAGGCCACTCTGTGAGCTCAGTGAAGTCCTAACTCCCTATTGTTTTGGATGCTCTGTCTGATCTTGCCACGGAAGCTTCCCAGGGGAGAGGTATGACGACAATTCAGGTCAGGATTCTATTACCCTTATAGTTGGCATCAGGTAACAAGAAATATTCCTAAGCAAATGGCTGCAAAAGCCTTGGGCATTGTCCCCAATGATGCGAACACGGGCTTGACTACCATCTTTCTTATTTTAAAGTCAGATTTATTGAGGAATAATTTACAGGCAGAAAAACTCACCCTATTTAGAGTACTGTCCTCTGAGTTTTGACAAAGGCATAAGTTGTATAAGCACCACCATAATCAAGTTCACAATAGTCCCATCACTTCGGAATACCCTTGTCCCCTTTGAAGTCAACTCTACTCTCACCCTACGCTTCTGCAACCACTGACCTATTTCTGTCCCATAGTTTCATCTCTCCCAGAATGCCAGGTAGAGGGAATCATACAGAATGCCGCCTGTGGAGCCTGGCTTCCTTCATTCTGCCGAGGCGTCTGAGACTAACCCATGCTGCCCATTCCTCGTGCGGCTGAGCGGCCTCCCGCACGTGCACGTACCGAGATTCCACTACCCACCAGCTGACATCTGGGTTGTTTCAAGTTTGGGGTGATTATGAATAAAGCTGCTTCATGTACAGGTTTTTGTATACATTTCATTTCTCCTGGGTAAATACTTAAAGGTGGATCGGAGGCTCATAAGGTAAGAGTCTGTTTAGTTTTATAAGGAACTGCCAAACTGTTTCCCAAAGTAGCTGTGCCATTTTCCTTTCCTACCAGCAACGTGCGGGAGTTTCAGTTGCTCCGATCCTCCACCAGCGCCTATTGTAAGCTTTTTAAAAAATTTCAGCTTTATTAAGGTATAACTGACATATAAAACTCTAAGATATTTAAAGTGTTTTGATGTAGGTATACATTCTGAAAGGATTCCCCCATATATTTAATTAACACCTCCATCACCTCACATATTTATTCTTTTTAGTGAGCACATTTAAGTTCTACCCTTGTAGCAAATTTCAATTACACAACACAGTGCTGTCAACTGTAATCACATTTTACATGAGCTCCCAGGCCTTATTCCTCTTATAACTGAAAGTCTGTACCCCTTTCCCAACCTCTCCCTATTTCCTCCATCCCAGCCACCCCTTACTTTTCTCTATTTCTATCAGTTCAACTTCTTTTTTAGACTCTGCATATACGTAATATCGTGATTACTTGTCTTTCTTTGCCTGGCTTACTTCACTTAGCATAGTGCCCTCAAGTGTTTGTCAGTTAAAAGAATGTTTCCAGTCACTCTAATAGGTGTATAGTGCTATCTCATTGAGGTTTAATGTACGCTCTCCGAATGACTGATGATGGGCTTATTTTCCCGTCTATTGGCCGTCCATATGTCCTTGTGTTCACATCACTTGCCTAATTTAATTAGATTTTTTATTTTCTTACTAACTTTTGAGAGTTCTTTATATTTTCTGGATGCAAGTCTTTCATTAGATATGCATTTTGCAAATATTTTCTCCTAGTCTTTTGTTCTTTCCTTTTTCTCACATGAGAGTTCTAAGTTTATTAATCCTCTCATGAAAAATCTGCACAATCACCACAGATACAGTCAGAAGAATCTTAACTCCTCTGATGTCCAGTCTCCAGCTCACTCTGCAGCACCAGCGCTGGCCTTTGCAGCCCCCTGCCTTCCCTCATTCTGTTCCGGCCTTCCTGTCTCGTTTTCTTGAGGTCTTACCCTCACACAGGCCACGTCTTGCAAGTCTATGTTCGGGTTCATTTTCCTTTGTGTAACCCCAGGAATCATAAATCATGCCCAAAGCCAGCTGTCTTGCCACCACCCAAATGGGTTCTGAACCCAAACTCAAAGATGACGTCCGGTGTGGTCTTTGACATTCTGGCTACTTTTCCCTGAATATCTGTCTCGGGTTCTGCTGCCTTCCCAGGGTGAAGGACGTCAATGACTGTTTGTTTCCACAGGAGTGGGCTGTTGGTCATGAGCTTCCCTGTCTGGACAGTTACTGTGTGTTCATGATGGTGGCCGACCTTCGAGCAGCCAGTGAGGAAAAGACTCACTTTTCACCTTAACAGTATCTTTCAAAGAATGATTTCAAATTTTGATGAAGTTCATTTATCATTTCTTTCTTTTAGGGACAGTGCTTTGGGTGTTATTTTTAAGACTCTATGCCAAACCAAAGTCACTAAAATTTTTTGTATGTTTTCTCCTACAAGTTTTAAAGCTTCAGGTTTTACATTTAGATCTATAATCCATTTTAGGCTAAGTTTTGTATAATATGTGCTATATTCTTATAACCTGCTCATGCAAGGGAATCCGAATATCTTGACTATCAGTTCATTTTCATGATAGGTAATCATCTTAACAGCTGCTAAGCAACTAATGGCTAATTGCACCAATAAAAGCTCATTCTGATATTCATGTGCTAACTGGTAAAATGTATAGTTTTGATTGAGATCCCAGTAAATGCACTGGTCACAGATCCCTCTGGAATCTGACTTTCTGATATAATGAAAGTCAACTAACCCTAGAGTGGGATTAATGACTAGGGAAATTCATTGGTACTGTGGTTAAAATTTAAACCAAGCAGCTCTTAGTTGAAAATAAAATCAAGCCATCAGTGCTGAAGTATTTTTACAGTAAATTATAAACATTCTAACCCAGACAATAGGAAGACCATGGACAATGGCATGAGGTGTGAAGGGAGGGCAGTTACAGGGGGTGATGAGCGGTTCCTTTTGGTGCACACAGAGCACATGACAGTGCATGAGGTGAGCTGGGGAGATGGGCACAGCCATCCAAGGACTGGACTTTGAGAAGCCATAAGGAGCCTTAGGAGGATTTTAGGAGGTGAAATGGTATAATCGGATATGAGCTTCGGCAAGATCACTCTGGACAGTACAGACCGTGGTTTGATGGTGGAGGGTGGAAGACACTGGAAGCAGAGAGAAAAAATAGGAAATTATTATGAGTTGGAAGTGAGAGCTTATGAGATCCTGAAGTGAGGGCAGAGGGGAGAGATAAACACTGTTTTAAGGTATTATCTTCCTCTCCCAAAATGGTCAAAGATGAAAAAAAAAATTAGTCACTGACAAATGTCATATCTTAAAAAGTGTTTACTTTCTTTTTCTTTTGAATTCTCGCAAGTTGTTGCTGACCTTAATATGACTTTGGTGTTAAGGTTTTCTGCAAATATTGCTGATCGCACAGCAGGATGGTGGACTTTCAGAATGTGCACACTTAGGATCCAACAGTGACAGGTGGTGGCTCTAGAACCCACCTGGGGCCCTGCTGATAGCGAGAGAACCAGCTGACAAAGGGGACATTCTTGGCATCTTGGACTCAAATGGCAACAGAGTTCAAATAGGAAAAAATACTGAACTATCTTTTATGGTCTCGCCATGTCTTTCATTTCTTGGGCGTGTCATTTGCTTTATGTTCCCAATCGTGGAAAGGAGCTGCTTGATGTTAGATGTGACCTACAGTGACACAGGTAAAATGTTGAATGCTCTATGGATGGGTCCTTCAATACAGAACCTATTGGATTTGAGGACACTTTTGAATTGAACTTTCACAGTAGTAAAGAAAAAGATGGACTATGGATATAAAAATATTTGGGGGAAATAAGATGAATTTTTGACATCTGAAGTTGTTCTGGACTTCCTGCTAGCATTTCCCATTTATTTTTTTTGGCGTGTGTGTCTGTCTATGCTCTTACTGATGTCTTCCTGGGTAAAAATGCAGG